TATCTCAATGATACTGTGACATTTGAATGTGGTGCTAATGTGAATGAATATACCCTTGTTATTCTTATGGAAGGAATACCACTATCTTCACTAAAATCTGAAACATTACCTAATGGGGTAAGGTTGCTATCCTTTAATCTAACAGCAACTAATGCATCAAATGGAACTGATGTTACCTGCCTAGCATTTGGTGATGATGGAAATGCCACTGAAACTGCCTATCTCTATGTTCAAGGTAATTGTCAATGTCATAGATCTGTAATGTTATATGTACACATTCTCAGGTCCACCTGATAGTGTCAGTAATTTAACAGGATATCAGTTAGATTCTTGTTGTATGTTTATCAGTTGGTATCCTCCATTCACACTACCAGGACTAACAGTACAGTATATAATCAGTGTAGGAACTGATCAACAGTACCTTAATGACTCTATCACTAACTACACTTACTGTCCAATGAACCTAACGAATAAACAATATCTGTTTAACATTACAACTACTAATAAAGCTGGGAATGGATCTACTAGTAACATAACTGTTGGATTTCAATCAAGTAAAAAGCATCATAATTTGATTTATTATTTCTTTATAGGTTCACAGATTTCAATCATTTATCAAGATTCTTATACATATCGTGTAAACAATTATTGGTACCTTTGTTTCCTTTTATCAGTAAGTTAGCCTAACGTACAACACCCACACAACTTTGTTTACATTTACAGGCTCATCAACTATGTACTGAAGTGCCACTTGTTAATATTACATTATGTACTGTTAATAATGATTCTTGTTATTCATCAATGAATATAACCATTAATCATAGTGCTTATAATAACACTTCACTTGTTGTTATTATAAATCTTCCATCAAGAGAGATACTGAATACTAATATTATTTTATACTATCAAAATGGAGTAAAGTTTGAAAGCAACACTATAGCAATCAGTAAGTGACTGACATAATCATTAATATTTTATTATTATTAAGGTACTTATAATCTTCAGCATATAATGATGGTTAATACTACATTTAATGAAGTTTGTCTTCAATTTCTGTTTGTCAATGGCAGCACCACTGATATTATTTATATTCACATCACTAATTATGAAGAGCCAGTTCATCAACCAGTGTATTACAATATATCTTGTAATGATCAGTTGAACTTTACTGAGTGTATTACTAACATACCAGCTGGTAATAACTTAACACTGTATGCATGTGAATCAATGGAGGACTGTACTACTAATCCTGCTGCTGTATTAACTGGTATTAATATTGATAGAAGTAGAACTTCTATGGTGTCAAGTAATGATATTATGCCCAATCCATCTTCAACTACATCAATATCACTATCTACAAGTAAATATTAATCTTGATGATAATTTATGTATTATGCTGACAAGCTACATAACAACTAAAATTTCATCAGTTTTCTCTACAGTTAGTACTACCATGATGATGGAGGATTGTAATATAAGGGAATGTCAAAGTGAAGTACCTGTTACTAGTGGTAAGTAATGAACACATTTGAATTACTTTACTATTATTTCATTAATACAGCAGTATTGATTAGTGTATTGAGTGTATTCCTCATACTATCACTAATGATTAATGTTATTACATTAACTGTGTGTTACTGCAAGAGGAGACAGGATGATCGAAGTATATTAATTTATGTGCTGAATACAGTAAGTTTTACTATGATGGATTGTATTATAGGTTCACAAGAGCAAGAACTATCATCAGTTAATCCACAGTATGAGAATGTACATCTACCAGTTCCACAATCAGAACTATCAATGAAAGAATGTGCTGCTTATGGTGTAGTGGTGGGTACTAGATTGTAAGACTGTGTGATAATCATTGAACTTTTGAAAGCAAATTTTGTGCTAAGCATTTTAAATTTTTAAATTTTATGTTTATTACTGACTGTTATCAAAATGATAGCCATCCACTTGAGGGTGTGACTAATTTTAGTAGCATGATCAATGTTTCAAGCAAAGTGATTCTTTTTCTGCTAAATTTCTAGTTCTGCTGATTGTAAAATGGTTTATATGTACTAATAACTACTGTGTAACTTATTAGATGATTTTGTGCTTTTGCTAATGTAAGTGTACTGGGGAATAAACAAGTGTGTTTATAAGACGAAATAACATTAATTTAATTAATTTTGTCTGCTATTCATTAGGCCACTCTAATAACATTCATTGGGGTGAGCCTGAGCTCGCCCCACTCTAGCTATACTCTCAGTCATTGGGGCGAGCCTGAGCTCGCCCCACTCTAGCTATACTCTCAGTCACGCGCCCCGTCTGTCCCTCTGTCTGTATGTCTGTCCTCGTACGTCACCCCTATTTATGCGTAGATCTAATATGGTAGATAGATACTATGCATTACCAATGCAATTTTCAATTTTTCATTGAAAGTGGGAGCGGTCACAGTAAAATAAAAATGGCAACCAACACACTGGAAGAATTCATGAGCTTTCTAGCAGCAATATAAGGCAGATACCGTCCAAAGACTTCCCCAGCAGCTATAGAAGGTTTTAAATTCAATTAATTGGGGCGAGCCTGAGCTCGCCCCACTCTAGCTATACTCTCAGTCACGCCCAGTCTGTCTGTCTGTCCTCGTACGTCACCCCTATTTATGCGTAGATCTAATACGGTAGATAGATACTATGCATTACCAATGCAATTTTCAATTTTTCATTGAAAGTGGGAGCGGTCACAGTAAAATAAAAATGGCAACCAACACACTGGAAGAATTCATGAGCTTTCTAGCAGCAATATAAGGCAGATACCGTCCAAAGACTTCCCCAGCAGCTACAGAAGGTTTTAAATTCAATTAATAACCTATGAAGCTCGTCTT